GGGGGGAGATTAAGAAATGACGAATACAGCTCAGGAGGCAGACAGCTGCTGGATGCGGTGCACACGCTGTCCCAATTCAGATCGAGACAAAAATTCAAACCAGTAAAATAAGAATGAGCCAGATAAGGTACTTTTATTTTTTTAAATGTGAAATAATGCATACTCCAAAAACTGAAAGCCAACACTACCGAGACTTCTACAGAGTATTTTTGCCTGCAGGGGTGTAAACTGGGCAGCTGGGAGGTAGGGACAGAGAAATGAAGGCATGAATTCAGTATAGGGACCAGGTCAGCCATGTGGCAGCTTTTGCATTAACCCTGAGCAGGAAGCTCAGAGCCCCCCGATCAAGTCCAGCGGTCTTCACTCTGAATTCTGGTCTAAACTGGAGAGGTCAGCATAAAACAAGCATGCTCATTAGCCTTGCAGAAACGAGTCCTACTTTATTTTATACATACCCTCCTTATTGCATCTTATGGTTTCTAGTTAATTGCTGTCAATCTTATGGTTGACATCTTAACTAAGGAAGTCCAGACTTGATTACCTGTTTTTCCATATGTGTGTGTATGGTGTGTGTGTGTGTGTGTATTTGCATGTAGTTGTATATGTAAGAATCTTAGGGTAGAGACTAGTCACCATGGCCTGTATTCAGTCCAGAGATATATTTTGTTTTGCCAGCACAGGTATATTTTCTTTATTTAAAATATTTGCCAAAATTTGGATATTTAGTGATAATCCTGTAAAAATCTGGATTTCCAGAAAATCAGGCAACCCTGGGACTGCTCTCCATCTGTTAATAACACCTTGAAGCTGAGGGGTGGCCCCACTTCTTAGATGAATTCCTGTCCAACATTCTCTCTGCCCTGTTGTCTCTCAGACACTGTAGCCAAGTATCCCAGTCTTTCTGTTTCTCTCTCCCTCCCTCTCTCAGATTTAAAAACAAAAACAAACAAACAAATTCAAGCTTCTAAGCATGTGAGTTCGGAATTCCTGGGCTCTCTCTCACTCCCTTGATAAATACGTAGATAAATGCCAATATATAGTGTAAGTATATCAGATGAATGCAAGTGCAGTTTGACCCAAAAAAGGTAGTTTTGTATGGTCTGAACCTAATGTACTTGTTTACATTGCAGTGTGTATGTGTGAAATCAGACTCCACTCCAATAACCATAAGAGAGATTTTTCCTCGTAGAAAAGTATTTTGCCGATCTTCCTGACTGTATTTGTAATCTTTCTCATTTTTTCCTGCGATGTTTTCTACCTTCTAACGTGCTTCTACCTGTAAACGCTCCCTGTGCCTTAAGTGCTAGTTCCAAGTCCAGGACGTCTTTGATGACTCAACCCCTTACTCATTTTTAGGCCTCCAAACTCACATAGTATTTGTAAGTTGTATCGCGCACTTCACTGCTTAATTTTATGCACTCTCTCCTTGTTTACTCTGCCCGGAAATATGAGGGTAACCTGACAGCAGAGCCCCGTCTTTCACAAGTGTTCTTGAATCTCCAGAAGCGTTTAATGCTTGTTGACAGATTACTTTCTTTTTGATAAACTAGGTTGACAACATGCATTTAAAAAAAAAAATTCCCCTCTTGTAGGTGAAGCAGGCTGCTGAATAGAAGCCCTTTGACTCCATTAAATATACTGTTATTTTATTCTTTTTGTTATGTTGAGGTTCTTGTGTCATTGTGGTTTGGAATGCTTACACTTAGGTCACATAAAAGTTTCATGAAGAGTTTGTCTGATTCAGTTTTTCAAAGAACACCATCCCAGATACATTTACCCATTTTAAAAGTTTTTTATTGTAGGCTGAAACACAAACACAGAAAACCACATGCAACAAATGTACAGCTTCATGAATTATTATAAGTTGCAGTTCAGCATGTTCCTTTGCATTTTTTCTTGCAAACTGGCACTTGGATCCTGGAGCTTGATCAGACTAAGTGGTTCCCATCTCTTCGGCAGGACCCTACAGGGCAGTGTCTTCTTCCATGAAGAGACGTGTGATGTCGCGCTAGCTCTGTTTTATCTTAGCAGCCATGAGTGCTTAGTGCATAGATGTTTGTTCACGGGGGCTGAAAACCAGCAATATTTGCATTTTATTATTTGGTTAATTAGTTGGAATAATACTGTAAGGAGATACTCCCCCTCATATGTTGTTTGGTTATACAGTGGTAGGGTTTATTCGAGAAAAACATGATAAATATTTGACTCTCCTCAGACTTTGAGGTAGTAATTTGGTTCTTTGTCAACCTCAGAAGTGACTGACTCTTACTGTTCTTTAAAGTACCTTTATGAATTTATACACTCATATGTATTTGTTGGGTTTCAATTCATTGCAACTGTTACATTTATTGAACCTCAGATTGTCCTCGTCTTTGGCCTGTGGAAGCCTCTTCCAAGCTGATTTCTCAAGTCTTGCCGCCTCATTTCCGAGTTTGTCCTAATTCTGACTCACGTTACTCTTGCACGTGTGGCACTTCATTTTCTTATTGTTGCTTAGCTCGTTTTGAAACAGTCTAATTGCAGGTTTGACCTAGTTTTCTTGCGTATGTTTGGTCTTGTCTTTTTTTTTTTTGTATACTTATCTGTAAGAATGATACTCTCTTCATTTTGTTTTATAAGGAATTTCACCTCAACAGACTTGTTGACATGATCTTTGATTGTGTCCTTTCTGTCTGGAATGTCCGGATACCTCAGGCTGGTGGCTACCTCAGACCGGAAAGCAGCCAGTTCTCCTCCGAGAAGTCCTTGTTTCTGGCACTGAGATTTTCTTTTTTTTTCCCAAAATCCCAGTCTGATTGCTGGGATATTTACTGTTGTTGAGTCAGTGTTTCGAGACGTTTGCAGTGGACAGAACTAGAACAGAGATAAAATACCTTTTGAATTTAAACTGATTTTTTCCAATTAAATTTTAGGAACCCCATACTTTACTTAATCGCTTCTATTTTTCATCTATTTGTACTTTTGTTCACACCAAGAATCTGGTTCTCAAGGACACAGGAGATGATGGAATTAGAATTTCTCCTGATTACTCATTTCCTCTGTCTCATATTGCATTAGTCCCACAATGACAATAATAATAGTGTCACCATTAATAATTATTGAAACGTTTTTGCATATACTATCCATAATCTCCCTAAATTTTGTCTTATGATTATAACACACCTACACTATCAGAACATGTCGCCTTGCAAAATAAAACCTCTGCCTTTTAACCCTCATTTAGTCTTAGTTCATTAAATTTATTGTTCACTGGGTAGCCATTAGGTCAGTGTCTCCCCTGGTCGTTTCGGCTGTCTAAAGCTCATTTTCTCATAGTTCTCAGGATCGAAGGAACACTATTCCTTGATTGCTTGCAAGTTGATAGCACTTTGGGTGAACCTTTTATATTTAAAGTTAACTTTTGTTGACTGTGAAATCCTTCAGTCAGCTCCTCTTACCTTGAGTGTTCAAATAAATTCTTTCAGTTTCTTCTGGCACAAAATGGTACTGTCAAAAAGCGTGATAATAATTAATTTTCCCTCTTATAAGTCACGTATCCCTTTTGTCCAGATGCCTAAGAGATTTTCTTTTAATCAGCAAAACTTTCTTGAATTACATTTTGGGTACATATTTGTTCCGTTCCCTTTCTTTGGTTTTCTTTCTCAAGGACAACTGTTACTCACATATTAGCTTTTCCTTTTTCTAACAACTCTAACTTTCTTCCCAATTCTTTTTGACCTCTTTCTTAATTAAATTTTTTTCTCTTTGTTACATTTATCCTCCTAGTTACCCTTTATTTCTAAAATTACTTTTTCACTTACATGTAAATTATGTCTTCTTCAAATTATGCATTTTACTTCTGAGTTTTTCTGATTCTGACCTATGTTGCTCTTAGATATCTGGCATTTCATTTTCCTAATGTTGTTTAGCTCATTTTGAAACAGTAAATTGCACGTTAAATCTATTTTTGTTGTGTATTTTTGATCCTTTTGTGTGTGTGTGTCTGTAGGAATGTTGTTCTCTTCATTTTATTTTGTAAGGAATTGAACCTCGACAGGTTTCTTTTGCTTGCTTTTCTGTGGTTTGTTTCCCTGCACTCCCAGAGGTTCAGGTAGCTTTTCTAAGCACACAGAGCTCCCTCTCCTGTCGTTTTTATTAGACCAGGGCTCAGGGCTCAGCGAACTGCAGCCTATGGGTTGAATCTGGCCCAGGTCCTGTTTTTGTTTGGGCCCCACTGAACTAAGAATGGTTTTCCTGTTTTTGTAAAGTTGCAAACAAAAGAAACATAGATGAATATGTGACAGAGACAAATGGTCCGCAAAGCTCTGTTGACTCTCTGGGCCTTTTACAGGAAAGTCGGCCGATCCCTGGTGCACACTAAGAACTATGGCCATTTGCTTCCTGAGTTTTCATGACTATTTCTCTCTCCTGCTTTGACCTTTTATTTCTCTTGCTTCTATCCTACTCATAAATTTTAAATACATTCTTTGTAGTTCGTCCCCAGTGTGAGCCCTGTCTTGGAAAAGAGACTTGGTGGGTTAGTTTCAAGTATTTACACTCACTGTCCTCCAGCTGGGCTGCTTGCACTTTGTAGCATCACCGGATAGTTATTTTAGAATTACTGTGTTTTCAGATTTGATGCTTCCCTCTGCTTTCTCTTACACAGATACTGAAATACACAGGTTCTCAGTTCCTTCGTGGTTTGTCCACGTCCATTTTATTTTATTTATTTTATACTCGTATTTATTTTAGGGTGTGAGGGTGCACCTCATCACCACGTTTTGTCATCAGCGTCCAAACGCCTTCTGTTTTCTATCTAGCCTTTCAGTCTCTTTTTATGTAGAAATTTAGGAAGAGCAAAACACCACTGCTGCCTTCTTCCCAGAATCAAGCTCACTTGTTTTTAAACAACAATTTGCTTAATTGAATGTATTAAATTTGATTTTAGGAAAATGTTTATCCTGAGTATTTCAGTGCATGAAGTAAATCAACACGTTCATATTCTTTCTGTTTTTCTCCAGAGTCGAGTTCCCATTATGTAATCTCCCTAAAAGCTTTTAACAACGCAGGAGAAGGCGTTCCTCTTTACGAAAGCGCTACCACCAGGTCTATAACAGGTAAGCTCACATAGCGCATTCACTCGTGACAGGGTAGTCAGTGCTTGAGTTGTGGTGGGGAAAAAACCAAAAAAACTAAAGCAGAAGAAAACAAAACACACAAAGAAGGAAAATGTATGTAATCCTGTCTGGAGCCTTATGTGTATATACACACACACACACAATGTATTATGTTTCTGGTTATCAAAATTAAGTGAAAGGAATTCAGTCTATAAATTAGCACGTGGACTTAGAGAACAGAGATGTAATGTTCTTTCTCTTCTCCCAGTAGTTTCACGTTTTGGTGTCCTGATGCCACTTTTCATTCCTCTGAGCAGGTTGTCTCAGGTCCACGCAATGTAAGCAGGAGGGTCTCTACAGAATGGCCACTTGCTAGTCCGCAGAGGGTCCTCCAGGCTGAGAGGACAGGGATGAGCCGAGTCACACAGTGGCTTCTTGCCAAGCCGGGCCGCCAGGTCGCCCCAGCAGTGCCCGGGGCCTCCGGACACTGGCGGGACCGGCTGCTTCAAGGGCTCATCTCCTCGAGGAAGTCTCACCTGAGCTGGACTTTGAACGTAGCGCGGGAGGGAACAGGAGCTCGCGGGAATGAGGAAGGGGTGGGTGAGGACGTGAGATCTGAGCCATTTATGGACACTAATTGTGAACAAGGCTGGACCTACTCAGAAACAGAGTAAGTGCCACCTCTGTGGGGCTTGTTCATGACCCCGTCACGTGACCACCTCCGATAGCCTGTCATCTAAAACATAAAAGTAAAACCCGAGACTTCCGTTTTTCTCATGCACACTTCAGTCCTGCCCCCTTTCAAAGCCCGCAACCCTCAGACCTCATTTAGCTAATCAGCTGTCTTCCCTTTAGTGAGAACGAAGGATCTGAGAGCAGGATTCGATAGGGAGCCCCAGAGAACACACGGGAAATGACTGGGTGTCCGAGCATGAAGTCCTGGCAGGTCGGAGTAAATGAACATAAAACACATCGGGGGATCCCGTGACTTCTGCTCTCACCTAAGTTTATATGAACTTTGTACAGTTTGTTTTCCAAATCCAGAAGCTTCGTTTGTAGACCATCTTGAGAATACACAATTACAAACCAAATTTGCAGTTGTTATGCAGTGGTTTCCAGAGCATACCGTTGCTTTATGGATTTTAAGATTTTCTTATAAGGCAAAGGTGTTATTCCAGAGTCTCCTTGAATCTTTGGCTGCTGGTTTCAGCGTCTGGGGTCTGCCTGAGGTGGTCTGCAAAAGCTTGTGTGCTTGTCAGTGTATTAATCTATCTGTGGAGATAATGTAGATCTTATATACTGTTATCAAAGGGGCTCATAACTCCCCAGAAAGGGTAGATAAGAAATATTACCCTAGAGAACATTTACTACCTAATGTATTATCTCTAAATATATAGAGTTGAGGCAGATAGGGGGCCCAGAATGGAAACCACGAGACAACGTGATACCGGGTGTCTGGGATTTTTACTTCCCCTTATTCCCTGGAGCTGCCAAAGTCCCTTGGAGAGACAGCAGCCCACTTTGGCTGTGCCCGGGCCTCCCATAATGTTGACTCAGTAAGCCAGCTCTTCCCTGCCTGGGGCAAAAGATGCTGCTCACTGATGTGACTGTGGGTTTACGAGCAGGCCACACAGAATTGTGCCATGGCCAGTCTTTTGGTATTTTCTTACCAAAACTAAAGCCCACAAAGAAGGGTTACTAAGGTGATCAAAAAGAGATCAATTTTTGAGCAGAACGTAGTAGTAGTGGTAGAGGTAGTAAGAGTTTGGAGAAACTGAAGATAAGTTACTCAGAAAGAATCATTTGAGGTGTTTTCACTTCTTTTGCCTTCGCATTTTGTGTCATTCTGCAATTCTCAGCATATGGCGTTCCCAGAGCGGTTTCTTAAATATCTGATCCATAAGAATTTTTTTCCCTGATGTGACTAATCCTAATGGATCTGAGAAATGAAATAATACCGAAAGTTGGAAAACGTGTGAAGGATTTTCTTACTGAGGAAAAGTCAGTAAGGGATTGGAGGGGATAAATAAAACCAGCCCTTTCCACATCCCTGCCTGGACGTGGCGGACGTATTTTATTGTGTTTTCACATGTCACGGGGAACAAAGGACAAATAAATAGAATCAAAGGTTAAGGTTCTGGGAGAAACTCTCTCAATAAAATGTGTTCTAGGGCTTACAGAAGCCATTCTCAGTCTCTGAGCTTCTGCAAAATATTCCCAGGAGCAGTCTTGGCAGAGGCCAACATAAAGGAAATAAAAAATTAGGCAGTAAATGCGTCAGGCTGGAGCAAGTGTCAGGCTGTGGTGCTTTCCACGTGCGTGTTCTCAGAGATCCTGGTCCACTCTGAATTGTCGTCTTATCCTGAACATACCAGCGTTAGACCGGAGGACAGTTTCACCACGTCAAATGGGCGGGTTAAGAGTTTCATTTTTGCTGTAAAGCCTTTTTATTTCATACTGTTGCAAAAGCATGATATTTTGAGCCTGGAGAAGGGCAGAGGACAGGGGAATAATGTGGTGAATTGTTTGAAAATTTGTTTATTCTCAATCGTTTTATCAAGGTCTAGATGAAGTACAATCCAGATGTAAATTATGAGGGTTTTTTTTTTTAAATCTTGTTTTGACCTTTAGCATACTGACTAGAAACTCATGTGTTCTCACCAAAGCATCTATTAGGAACTGAATAGGTTTCTCTTTTTAGCAAAAGGTTTAAAGCTGTATTTTATCGTTTTGTCTTTTTTTTTTTCACTCTTTTGAACGTAACCACTGAAAATCAACGCAATGTAAGGCCCTTAGGGGTATGAAGAGAACAACTGAAAAAAAGCGCAAAAGAATGTTTTTAATTCAGCTACTCAGTTTCTGATCTGAAAGGAAAAGATAATTAGCAATGGATGTAGCATACACACGTTCAGAGCAGTGCTTGCCACGTGCTACTAGTTCTGCTGTGTTGGAAACACTGTGCTGTGACTGTGCAGTCCAAGATGGTAGGCGTGAAGCGCGTGTGGCCACTGAGCATCTGAAATTGGCTAGTACGACACAGTGAGTGAATTTTTAATTTAATTGAAATATAAATTTTCTGTGTAAAAGTGGCTATTGTCTTAGCCCAGCTATAGAGGAAGTAACAGACAGAATGAGAAGCCAAGCCTGAAAAAAAGTCCCTAAAATAAACAAGAAAAACTTGGCCAAGGTAGACATTTTTGAATTACTGAAGTTCATAGAGATATACCAACAGGCAGCATGACTTGCAATTTAGGGATGCGTTCTGGAACTGAGGCTCTGAGAAACTCAACAAGTCATGAAAAACATGCTGCTCTAAAATCCAGGAGCAGCAGGACTGGGGCATTATCATTTCTTGAAATACTATCACTACTTTTCAAAGTCTTATCCATGGTACCCGTGAAAGACGACAATGTTAATAGAGATTTATCAGCAAAACTAGATGAAGCAAAGAACAACAATTAGGGTAACATGAATATAGGTTGGTCCAAAAGGAGTTTGTCGTTTAGAGGGGCCCACCCGCATGTAACGCTCTTCTCAGTCAGTCAGCTAAGGCTAGAACTAAGGAAAGAGAGGCAGCATCTGGTTTAGTTTGGCAGAAACACTTTCCATGGATGCAGCAGCCTGATGACTGACTGGGAGCCTTCTGGAGGCTGCGGTATCTTCAGCTCCCCCTCATCATTTCATAAATCCATTCGGGTTTAAAGGAGCCCTTAATAAAAAGACACATCAAAGGAAATATGAAAAGCCTGGGCTCTGTCATTAAATTTTAAACACACATTTTTCTTTCTCTCTCTTTCTCCTTTTTTTTTCTTTTTGGTCTTCCCTTTTGTTTTGTTTTTGTTTTCTGATTTTGCTCCAATGACCACAGCCCAGTAAACGACTAAATAATTCATTGGAAAACAGAGTCCTGAGTAGGGGGTAGACATTTAAAACTCAGTGAACAAAGTGAAGGCATCATCACAGTCAGCCAGCAGCCACAACACTATATTTAAAACTGCAAGCTCTGTCTGTTCCCTGCTTCAGATACTGTGCATTGTAGTAGGTCTTGTCTGCCCAGATGTCATCAAATGCCCAGCCTAAGAGCTCGTCTTGTTTGTTGTTTTTTTTTTTTTGGTAGTGAGACACATATTACATGATTTAAAGGAAAATTCTTGGGTAATAAAGAAAAGGCTTACATTTCGACTCCTACAAGGGCCACCAAATAAGCTGCCCTGACTGTGATATCCCCAGCATGAGAACAAGGGCAAGATTTTTCTAGAGAACTTTTTGAAACCACTCACATCTTCGTGCAGATTCTGCTTGTGTTCTGGATCAAAGCGTGTGTGTACCTCAGCGCAGATCTCATCAGTCTGTAGCTAAGCTGGTTCAGGTCTGCCTCCCCACCCACTAATACGAAGTCTTTCTGTGGAACTTACAATTTTAGAAGAAGGAATGTAGAATATAGAAATGCCATAGAGAATTTAATTACTCTGTGAGAATGTGGGTAAAACGGACACTTCTACACTTTCTTGAAGAATTTCAGTCTAACCATACCACGTGCTATATGAAGCCTATCACATCATGGAACCATGTGGACCGTGGACTCGGTCATTCTGGCTTTGGGCAATCGTAGCTGTAGACAGATGGCTGTAGACCTCAGGGCCCTTTGGTTTTCATCATTTGTTTCTTGCCTAAACAGTATTTATGCAGGTAGAATCTAAGCAATAATAAAAGCGCTAGGGAAATCAAATCCAGTTAGAGAAGGAGGAGAAAAACAAATAAAAAAATAGGTATTAGATAGACCTTCGTTTCCTTTGCAGGAGGAAATAAACCAGATACTCCTTTGTATCTTGTTAAGTTATCTGTCAAGTTATAAAACTGATAAATTCTATACTCGATCTTGTAAGAAGCAATGTGCAACATTCTGAGGAAAACTGGACTTCTAAAATATAGAACTAGAAGTGACAGTCAAACTGAAATACGAATTTCACTCTAAGGAAATGAGTAAAGTACAGAAACTAGTCAGTTATTTTTGTAATATAGCAGTAGTGTTTCTACTGAGTTTTCCGATTGAATTAATTGTATTTTTTTCTGTTCTTCTCATGTTCCCTTTCATCATTATTGCCATGCATTTAACTCATTGTGATGTGTGACCACTGATGTTTATTTGTTTAACTCTTTTCTTTATGTATTTATTTGTTTGTTTCATTTGGCGGGTTTTTTGAACCCAGATCCCACTGACCCAGTTGATTATTATCCTTTGCTTGATGATTTCCCCACCTCGGTCCCAGATGTCTCCACCCCCATGCTCCCACCAGTAGGTGTACAGGCTGTGGCTCTTACCCACGATGCCGTGAGGGTCAGCTGGGCAGACAACTCTGTCCCTAAGAACCAAAAAACGTCCGAAGTGCGACTTTACACTGTCCGGTGGAGGACCAGCTTTTCTGCAAATGCGAAATACAAGGTGAAGTTCTCATTGATAGTATGAAACTTAAACTGTTGTCTGTTTTAATACATTATTTTCAATGCTTTCTGGACTGTCCTGAGTCATTTTGCTGCAGTGACATGAAATGGAAAACAAAACACTTAAATAACTTAGTTTTTAAAATTAGCATGGGAATTATCACGTCTTAGGAAACAATTCTAAGGCAAGACAGAAAAATGTCAAGAGCTACAAAATATTTGAATTACGCCAGATGCTGGGTTTGTATAAATAGTTTGATTCTGTACAAGGGAATGTCATTTGCTTTTGAAAATAGCAGGGCTCCATATTAATTTCTTGGATAGATTTTGGTGTTTTTTTTTTTTTCGTTTGGAATCTAGATTTATGCCAAAGGCAACCCTATTAATGTTACAGAGACCCATCTTACAGTGAATATGAATGGGAATACATAACTTGAAAATTTTAAACCATCCTTAGATGATGAAAACACTCTAAGCCACTAGCATCTATTTTCTTGTTTAGCCTCAAAACATGTAGTTTGAGTCTCAACACACACTCTCCTTTAACTGATACGAATTAAACAAGTTCCCTTTTTCCTGTCCTGTTACTGAGTTACCTCACAACCCCCCCACCCCCACCCAAGAGCTCCTTGGAGATACACATTTGAGGCACTGCCATTTCTGCTTCCAAATCTCTATCAGCCTCAGCTCAGGAACTCCAACAAAGAGTCATTTGTACGCTGGGACAATTCCGTTACCTCCTAAGCCTGCCACACGTTAGTGTATATAAACAGTACACAAATGTAGACTACAGTGAGATCACTGAGTAATTATTAAGCACCTGCCATTTACCTGGAACTGTGCTAGATCATAGAGGCAGTTTAATGTGGCTTAGTTGTTGTTACTTTGTATACTTAACATTACTGTTTATAATTTTGGAATATGTACATAATACTCTCAGCTCTACACACGTGCTTCAGAGATTTCATAACTTATTCAAGTGAGGTAATATATGAAAACACATTTAAAATATAAAGCTTCACAAGATGATGATTTGAGATGAAGAAAGTAGCTTTAAAAATAAAACCGTAAAGGGTGAGAGGGAGAATTGGCTGGGAGGAGGGAGAATTGGATAAAGGCAGTGAAAAGGTACAAGTTTCCAGTTATAAAATAAGTACTAAGGATGTGTATTCATCATACAACATGATGAATATAATTAACACTGAGGTATGCCATATATGAATGTAAAGAATATAAATCCTGGGACTTCTCATCTCAAGCAAGAAGTTTTTTTTATTTAACTTTGTATCCATATGAGATGATAGTTTAGATGACTGAAGTTGTTCTGGTAATCATTTTGTGCTATATGTAAGTCAAATCGTTATGCTGTACACCTTAAACTTACACAGTGCTGTGTGTCAGTTATCTCTCAATAAAACTGGAAGGAAGAAAGAGCATAGATGTTACGAACAACAAAGGAGCCAGTGGTTCAGCCCTGACTCCCAGAGTCTTCATACTCCCTTTCTCTTTACCGCTTGACCAGGGTAGCTCTCAGGGAGAATCCAAATCTCCTAATACTTTATCCAATCTTATTTCCACTAAACGGCTGTCTTGCTGAAGCCAGCCTTGAGCCAGTGGTGATGTGGGGGATTAAAATACCCTTTGGAAATTTCCTGCCTCCAAAGACCCTGGAGTTAAAGCAGAACCCCACCAATAATTTTGTAAGTCTGCCTCTTATTCCCTCTAGCCATGCTGGATCTGCTTTTAGTCTCATCCCACTGTTAAGTGGCATAATATTCACATTTCATCATAAACCAGTTTTTAGTTGAGACCATTTAAAAAACAGTTTTCTTTGGTTCTGCTGCTCTGCAAGTCAGGTGTTTGGAAAAACTCTTCAAGCAAGTCCAAACAGTATTGTTGATAGGAGATATGTTGTAAGCATCCTATCCATCTCCTTTCAGTATTAGATTTAAGACTCAGCAGAACTATAAAGACAACATTATCAGATAAGGCAACCAATGAACCATATGAGAGCATTAAAAAAAAGTCTTTATATAGAGATTACCCAATTCTAAGTTTACTTTTAAAAGACTACTTTAAAAATGTTATGCTCATAATTGCTGTACTTTGTAGATACATTCATTACACAGAACAGCCATGGGTATCTTGCCAGTATGTGAAACGTCCTGAAGGACAATGATTGTTCTCTGCAGAATGGTTTGAATTCCAAAATTTCTGGAGGCAGATTATTTCAGCTGAATAGTTAATAGAACAGACAAAGGATTCTTGAGACTCACAAAGAATGCCTACAAAGTGAGACTCAACCCCAAACCATCCTCTGTCAGGAGAGGCTGATTTCTCACGAATCGAAGTTTGAGAACAGAAAAAAATATGTTAACTGTTTCTCTCCCCAACATCTTCCCTGACCTAAGGCTTTCAGTGACTTCTCACACATGCACACTCTACACCCACACCCTGAGAAGAAGGGTTAAAGGGAAGAGCTGGGTAAGTTGGAGAGTGAGGCTAAACATGGAATGTATCCAGTCTACTACAGAGACATATAATGAACTTAAATTTTACAAATAATAGCAATAGAATGCTTTGGTTTTGCATCTGGAACTTTTCAAACCACTGTCATAAATGCTACTTCCTTGCATTGCCCACTACAGCTTATAAGCTGGGCAGAGCATCCACAAGATACAGAGGGAGAAGTCATACATGGAGTCAAATGACTGGGGCCCAGGAGTTGGCTTGGCTAGATCCTGTTGCGTCACTTAACTTACTCAACCTCATTTTTCTCATCTATGCGGTTGGGATATTTGTACCTGCTGTAAGAAGAATGAGTAAGATTCTTCATAGCTAAGTATGCACGTAGCGATCTTCATGAAGACTTAGGTGGATTGTATAACTTGACAAAAATTCCCCATGAAGCTAGAGCTGGAACCCAGATGACCTGATGGCATTTTCCAGGCCTCTTCCCACGTCCTACGTCAAGCCATAATCCAGACATTCATATTTTGATTGTCCAAAACTCTGTATTGACTGGCCCTATCAAATGAAGAAATGTCCTATAATTTATTTTCTTCTAAAGTGATGAATCACTTAACGTTTTCTATGGATCTCCATTCAAAATGCATTCATTGACTACTGTCCAGTGCTTATCAGATGTAACATGGTTATTACAGGAGATACAAAGTTGTGCAAGACTTAGTCTCAGCCAGCCCTCAAGATGCTTACAACTCAATAGAGAATTTATCACATGCCTAAAATGCCATATATGTGTGTGTGTGTATATATGCATATATATATCTCACACACATACAATGCCTATGTATCACATTAGACAATGCATGAAATATTGTAGCTCACATTTATTTAACACTTACTCTGAGCCAGACACTATGTTTTTCCTTGGCTTATTTCACACTTTAAATAGCACTATCAGGTCTGTGTTATGGTTATTTCCATTTTATAGAGGAAGAAACCGAGGTTCAGCGAGGTAGTACCTGGGATGGTATTCTGCTCACGCTCTCTCTCCCTGTCTCTCTCTCTCACACACACACACACACAACACACACACACACACACACACACACACAAATAGCCATGATTTTCCAAAGTGCTTCTAGGCTGATGATTTATGCTGAGAAAGTAACCTTGCATGCTGTTCCTGAGAAAACTCAGTGAATCTGTGGTATTTATAAAAGGCAAGTGTGTCATTCAAGAATACAGATGAGGACAATACTGCTTAGCTGTCTTCCAAATACCACTTGTGTCTATGCTAAAAGAGACTAGTTGTATCAAAGTATGATCCTTTCCTCCTGGTTGGAATCTTTCTCCCCTTATTTCTATTTCTAAGAGGTTCGTGATAGGAAAGGTGGGCGAGGTTGGAAGCTATATATCAGCATGCCAGATACTAGCTGCCTGTTTCATGTTGCATTTGATGGGATTCCATCTTACTGAGCCTACAAAATATTTTTACATTAATTTAGGGCAGACATTTTTACAGCTATTTTTAAGAAGAGCTTCTGATAAATGTTTATGAGGTCATCACTTTAATAGGACGGATGGGTACATCATTGAAATGTTATTAGTACAGTTAAATATTTATTTGGTTTTGTAATGAAGTGTAGGATTTTCATAGCTATAATCTAAGAAGGATTCATAATAGAATAAAAAAGATAATACCACACCAGAGTAGCCAAGGGAGGAGACGGAGGTATGACATAGGTGGGGACTAAAAGCTTTCTTTAATTTTCTAGATACAGATATATAAGAAAATGTAACAAATTGGAAAGTAAAAGTAAAAATTTAACTTTGGAAGAAGATCAAGATCTAAATAACAAGCATAACTTGATATTTATGAGTCATAAATAGTTTTAAATTTGCCAGATCATATGGAAAATACACTTTAACCTTTTTTTTTCTTTATTACCATTTTGATCTTTTGAGTAAGCAATAAAGACAGATAATTTCTACTAAAATATCCTTAACCTGTTGTTTAAAAGACAAAGAATCCTAACACTAATGTAATCTTTTAATGTTTATCCGATTTGTTCTCTTCCTGATCAACTGCTCCAGTGACCATACTTCAATGTGTATTTAATGTGACCTGTGCACAAAGAAATAAAACCACAGGACACAATATTGCTTTTGCCCCTTTTCTTTGTAACAGCTATACAGATTCTGGAATCACTAGAAGTCTGTATCATAAAACCTTTTTTAAAAAACTCATGCGCAGTGGAACTCTAAAAATTAATTTTATTACCACTGGAAAATAGTCATAACAGTCTTTATAAAATATATAATATTAAATCCTCTGAAAAAAAAAGAATTTTGATTATTAGAAATAAATTGAAGTTAAAGTCAGTGCAGATAACCTTGAAAATGGAACTGACAAAAGAAAGCGGAATTGGTCCTGTCTCCATGGTTATTACCTTACTTGGGAAAATTTATCAGCTCTCTGCCTCTTTTGAACAACATAACACCTGATTTTATCGATTATGTTTTAGATGTACAATTGGCCAGTGTAAACCGGTTACAGAAAGGAAATAAAGTCAGTGTTGTGTCCCAGGCCTTCGCTGTTTGGAAATCAGTTCCCTTTTTGTTGGCTTTTGATAGTCTTCTTGTGTGTCTTGATTTACCAAGTTGATAGAGTTCATTTTTTTTTCTCTTTTCTTCTTTCCCACTTGTTTAGTCAGAAGACACAACATCTCTTAGTTACACAGCAACAGGCCTCAAACCAAACACCATGTATGAGTTCTCGGTCATGGTGACAAAAAACAGAAGGTCAAGCACGTGGAGCATGACTGCCCATGCCACCACGTATGAAGCAGGTAGGTGAAGAACAAAATTTCTACTCTTGATATTTGGTGATGGTGTTTCCTAGGTTCCGAGGAACAGGTGCGCACTGCAATGTCTAAATCACACTTTGTCTTACATAGGATATTTTATACTTTGTAGTTCATAGCACTTTTATACCTAACTTATCCTCTCCACTCTAGATAAGAAGAAAAGAGTCCCCAGTGGACTAAGTAATCTGGTTTTACTCTGGACACTAATTTAGGAGATAATACACAAATCTTCTTTTCAGTACATTTAAGGAAAGATATCTTACTCTGTCCAAAGCATCTGTGTCTTTGATCAGTAGATGCAAGAGGTATTTACTGTTTTGGAAAGAAATTAGATACAGAATGGAACATCGCATTATAACTACTGTCTCATAGATGCTTATTCTGAATAACCTCCGGTGGCTGGGGAAGAGTTTTCTGGGTGGAAATAACAATGGAAAACTTTCATGCATTTGGAAATAGCTCAAATCTAGAGTAAATGCAATCCGCTGTAAATTTTACCAGTCACATTTACTACGGGTCATAAATGTTGAGTTTATAACCTTAGTAGGCATGCAGTGCACTTGGCATTTATAGTTCACAGAAATCCAACATTTGAAAAAAATAGGATTTAACATGCTTTTTGATTGCTTTCACAGCATTGTATAATATTTGGGGGTAAATGATACCACACGTTTCCAGATTTTTTTAAATATGCCAATAAAATTTTTATCTGTGTAAGTTGAATTTTTTTTTCCCACTAGAACTGTCCCACAGTTCTAATTTTTATTTCCGGCTACTACCTTAACTCAGAGAGTTCATTGCGAATATTTTTGCAATTTTGTGGATATTTCTTTCTATAGGAAGTTTTCTAGGTTGTTTGATTTAATTTCAACATCCTCTTCTTCTAGTTTACATGTTTACATATTAAATTATTTCCTTAATTCTTTTAATTAATTAATTAATTAATTAATTAATTTATTTATTTATTTATTAATACATCAGTTCTTTCTCTTAGGATTGTGCCCTGGATGCTAGTGTTCATAGCTTCTTAGGGAGAGCAGGGTAAGCTGAATGAGTTATGTACTATGGGGAGAATAAAGGCCCTGATCTTTCTTTTTATTTAAAAGGAAATGAAAGGAGTTAAATATAAACCAGTAAGACATTTGGTCTTCTCTGAGTAAAGAGAAGGAGTAGTAATTTCCTCTTGAAAGCAAGGAAATTCATTCAGTTTTTCCATGTCATAAACATAAATGCACACTGACACCTGGCTTGATAAATACTCCCTGTTGATTTCTCATCAACTGCCTACCCTTGTAGGGATGTCAATGGTGAGACCCATTGCTGACAAAAAGATATTAACTTTTAGAGATGTGGTTAGTAGGAAGGGCAATTGTCAAAACAGGTAATGATCTGGACAGAGGTGTAAATAGCATGTGGATAAGATCCCTGGGTGATGCTGAGGAGTAAGAAGTAATTCACAAGTGTCTGCAGATTTTATAAGTGTGAGAAGGAAATGACGTGCATGAAGTAACTCTAGAGTTTGCTTCTAATTCTGTAGTAACATCAAGACTATAGGGGTCTGCATTGTTATGCACTTGTGCTGAAATTGCTCATGATAAAAGTAATAGCAGCTGACAAATTCTTGAACTCTAGTTAACTTAAGTAAAATAAAAATGATTGGAAGGACACCTGAAATAATGAAGTGTTGGAAAGGAGCCAGCAGTATTCCCAGGCTTTAGAGATGAGAAACTATCAGACTCTCCATTCAAGATGTTACAGTCACAGTGGTTTGACTCCATGTGTTTTCCTTTCTTGTATAACATTCAGTTTCCTAGAAAAGAGTCACATAGCTAAAGAGAGTGAGTTGAAGGTCATGAAAGTCCTATTTGTTGTTGCTGCCCAATTCACGTGACAGAGGAGAGCTTATTCCCAAAGGAAAAAGGAGCCAAGTGTTACTCTAAATGAAGAGGAAGGGATGGGATGTTGAGCAGTCCTAAAACGAATGCTGAATACAGTTTCCATGGTTGGAAATCTTCCAAATCTTGAATGTTACCTTCCACTCGTACACCTAACAAAAAAAGTGAAGCATGGAAAAAGTCATTTGAGAAACAAAGTAGAGGGTGGTGCCGTGTCCAGTTGTCTGAGATATTAATTACTGGTTTCCAATAAGGTACATTTTGACTGTCAGATCCTGAGATAGGAGGACTTAGTAGAAAAGATAAAGAGAATACAGTCTATAACTTTGAGAGAATTATAATCTAATACATAAGAAATATATTTTAGAAACAATCTTGAAGTAACAGGAAAATACAGTCATAGAATTTTGGGCAAGTTGGAATCAGAGCAAATAGATCCAACTAGAAATGCTGTCTGGAGAAATCAGGGAAGGTTTTGCAAATGAAATAATGCTTGAGCAGTGGCTGGGTGGATCATCAGGTACCCATTCCAGGGCCTTTCAAAGGAAAGGAGTACCATGTATAAATAAAATTACACAAGCAAGTATCTAAAGCATGTTTTTAAGAGACACTTATGAATGATTCAGGGTGACTGGAGCATGATATTCATGGACAGCAAGGGGAAACGAGGCTGTGTAAGAAAATAAGAGGATAAATCCTCCAGGGCCTGGTATTATTATTCATTTTTATTTATCCACACTTAATGCAAAGAGGATGGTTAAGAATTTATAAAAGATTATTTCAGGAAAACCCACGAGATTGGAGAAGAGCAGACCAGAGATCTTGTGCTTGACTTAGGGGATCATTGAAGTTGTTAGGGCAATTTTCCAAATATGAGGGAACAGTGTACAGTTCATATGATAATCCTAAACATATAAGCTGTTGATTCCAATACCAGCATCTCTATTCACCAACAGTTATGTGCCTTGAGGAAAAAGAAAAATTTGTGCAGCACCTTAAATAGATTAGTTGTTAGGTTTTCTTTTGTGTGGGTTTTTTTTTCTTTTTTTTTTTTTTTTGAAAAATAACCAATTCTTCAGTGAATTATTTTGCTAGCTAAAGTTGGAGTCATTTTATATTTTTTTTTGAATCTCAATCTAGATTCAGTGAAGCAGTCTAATCATCATCATTTGTTTTCTAAATAAGCATCAATTTTAATTTGAACACATTAAAAAAATATTCCCACTGGTTAAAAAGACAGATCTTTCATTACTTCCAAAATTGGATAATTTCTTCCTATGTTTGTTATAATAATCTAAGTCAGTTTGTGGCTATATATTACCTTCCTATCTGTGGCTTAGAAAATATCTTGAATGAGCTTTTTACGAGAATAGTCCTTCTAAGATAACATTGTCTCTTAGGTGTTTTTCTATTATAGATCTTTGGTTTTTGCAAGAATATTCTTGTTCTCTTTTCATTAAAAAGTATGTATTAAACTATAGCTCAATATACAGTCTCAGAGGCCAACTACATTAGACCTTTTTTTCTCCTCCTCCTTTTTCTGCTGTGTTGCCTTCTTCCTTCTCATCCTGTGCCTCCTCTTTAAAAAAAAAAAAAAGAATATATTAAGTACTTTGTCAGGATATCACAATTAGTTGCAGCTTTGGTTAAACCTGAAATCCTAGTGACTTTGAGAATCAGGGTGTTGGAAATAAAATGGTATGATAGATGGGAATGTTTGGTGTCCCTCTATTTGGAATTCTATTCGGGAAGAGAAGCTGGAAATAGAATGTTGATAACGCTCAGATTCTGCCCTGAACATTCAACAGAAGACCAAAGAGTATTTTAAGAGTCAAGATGGAATTCAGAATTCAGACCTCGTTGTACCTCTCTTATAATACATAAGCACCTTTGTGCAGAGATCAGGAAATTCCTCCAGAACCCAACTGCAGAACTTATATATGTCCTGCAAAATTGCCTGTGTCAAATTTAGAGTAACTGAAAACAATGATGGATAGTGGACTTGGGCATCGTGAGCTACCTAGAAGGAAAATTAGCTGGACTTCACAGCATAGAGAGTGAGAAAGCAGGTCAAGGAAAGCCTGAAAGATATTGGACTGGCTTGGCCAGTTTGCTGCCATCTTTATAGTATATTTAAAATTTTGTTGAGCACAATAGAGGAGAAGAAAATTTATTTTTCTTTTACCCTTCCAGGTTCTGGGCTGAACCCCCTGTAGTAAAAGATTAACAGGAGAAAAACAGAAGCTTGATCATATATATACCTTCTATATACATGGGAGATACCCAGGAAAACAATAATTCCCTAAAAGGGCCCAAACCATCATTTTAAATACTATCTTCAGCTAAAGGCAAAAGATGCTGTGGGGTGAGGATCCAGGAATGGGAAGTTTTCAGGCAAATCACAGTCCACAAGGGTATGACTGTGATGTACATTTAAGTCTCTGCCTTCTCCATTGGTAAGAAAATTCTAGAGATTTTGTCATCTTTCTCTTCCTGGTACAGAGAGAGAGAGAGAGAGACACCCTTATAAACATAAATTTCTTTTTTATAAAAGGGTAATTTCTACTCAGTTTTCAGAACTTCTTTGTCTGCTGTTTCTTAAAAATAATCAGCCTAAGATCAATCTTATGCCAAAGAGGCATACTTTGAGGGTGACCAGTTATGTTCCTCTTAAACAGTATGTGGGAAAAGTAGGTCTAAACAAGACAGGATTTATTGCAACCTTACTCCATGGCAGGGTAAGACCCTCACAGATTCCTTATCTTTTCTAATTTCAAGTATTTTTTGCCTTTTGTTAGGAGATAATTAGTATGTTACTTAAGCAAGATGTTTTGGCTTGCATTTAAATTCCTTTTGTTTTTTGGTTTTTTTTTTTTTTTTTTTTTGGCTGTTAAGGAAAAGTAGAATTAGGTGATTTTTCATCTATAAGTCCTACAATTGTAACAGAATTTTGTCTCTTGGAGACATGTAGCCATCAATCTCACTAAGTACCTGTGCGTTTCTTCGTTCTTTTAGCGGTTCTTACATTTTAAGCGTGGCACTCCTTTGAAAAGACCCGTTACACACTTTTCTTCTCTAAAATCACACATATCTTACTCTCCTCTCTATATTCACACCTTTGAAATTCAATTAACTTCCATGGAAAAACATTAATTTCTGTATTTTTGTTTGTTTGCCTATTTAATCCAAATGCCTGAAATCAACTGTCCATGGTAAAATAAGCCTGATACACTGCATGGTAGATTCCGAGTGTCCACATCATGATTGGAAGTCCCATAAATGTCTGTTTTCTTTCATGTCCAATGACAAGGCCATGTCTCTGTTTCATCTCACAGCCCCGACCTCTGCTCCCAAGGATCTGACAGTCATTACTCGAGAAGGGAAGCCTCGCACTGTCATTGTGAGCTGGCAGCCTCCCTTGGAAGCCAATGGGAAAATTACCGGTAGGCGTCTCAGCTCCCTTCCCTGCGTTGCTCTGCTTGGCCTGTGATTGCTTCCCTCCTGCGCACTGCTCCTGCCTTTTATGTATTCAGTTTTCTGTCCCAGCATCTCAGCTGCCTCCTGACCCTTCCTGATTGTCTCTTCTTGCCCCTCGCTGACCTTGAAATTCTTCTAATGGCGCCTACAAGTCTGCACACAAGCACATTTCATTGGTGTTGCTTCCTGAAAGATGTGTATTTCAATTAGTACAGATCTTTTGTTTTTCATTGTGTGGAGCATTAGGACAGCCTTCTAATGGAATGCCTCTGAGCATAGATGACTAAAAAGAAGCCAGTTGTTTGGCAATTATCAAATACAAAAGACACTTAATGACCATGTATTTCTGTATGGAACCAGGGAGAGGAGGTTTGTCTGAGGGTTTTTAGTGTCTCATGTAGCTTTTAGCTACTTACTTAAATCCTAAGGTCCGGAAAACACTTAATATTGACGGACAGAAATTGGACTTAATGAATATTTCACAGTGACAGATTTTATTTTGCCAAATATTGCTGATAACATCAACGCCTAATTAGAGCATCCATTAGAAGCCTGTAATGTTAATTTAGTATGAAAAATATAATGGAGTTCTATCAGAGATTTTGCATTTAAATGATCACTTTAGGCTTTTAATAGATGTCTCCATAGCATATAATTATTATGAAAAATATTGTATAACTGAAAATGTGTACATTATAGTCTAATTAACTTGAACCATTGGGTTAGGTACATGTGTGAGTCACTCCTGTTTCTTCTTTTCTGAGACCTGGGGTGGATAGCACTATTATAAATTAACAGAGTCAGTCAGTCATTCTGTGATGCAGAGATAAGCATGGAAATTACAGTTCAGATGACATCCTTACTTCATGGGAGTTACTTTTTGAATTTTACAAAATGAAAAGATAATGTGAAAATTCCAAATGTGATTTAAATTTAAGTGGAAGACTTGTTTTCTCAAGGAAATTCCTCTTAGTGTAATAGCAAACAGAATTTCCATTTGAGCTGATACATATGAAAAATGAAGAGGGAGGTAAAAATCTCTCCCAAATCTTACATACTCATTTGTCACTATGCCAGCCTTTTTAAAACTAAGGCTGGCTTATTCTGATTTTCTTTCCTCGCCTCCCCAGTATTATGGTATGTTTTCATTGGTTCTTTTTTTGGTGCTTTTTTTAATTGTTTTCAGGATGACTTTTATTATGTTGTAAAGAGTTAGTTATAAGCAAATGGTAAATCAACAGATAATAAATTTAAGAAGAAAAGATAGAATACAAGTTGTCTAAATAAAAACATGTTCTTATCAAAAAAATTTGGAGGGATAAAGGATAAAATAAGTCATAAACTACCCAATTCTCTTCTTGTTTAAATAAATCTCATCAAATAGTTGATGTAAACAATGCAGTGTGTTTTCAAATCTGAAAAAAAGCTTAATTCCGCTTTTTGATGGAAAGAAATGCAAATTAATCTGAGCAGTAAAATTCTGTGTGCCAAACTCATAGTGCATATATAAGAAACCATGTCCTCATACTTTATTTAGAGTTGTATTTCAGTAGTTCTCACTATGAAAAATCCTTTCTCTCACAGTGGAATAGGAAAAGTATGGGAGTAAATATGCTTTCATCTTTAAAGTTCATTTATTAAAACCAAGTTTTGATCATGAAGTTGAGATACTTTGACTCTGTTCATCTTGGAGCAAACACTAAGAACCCTTAAAACAACTTCCGTTCCTGGCATATTTTGATTCTTTCAGTCAAATTACTTCCAAAAAATAGAGTGATAAAATACTCAAACTACCAGACCATTAGGCAGAGGGCTCAGATTTTCTACTCTCAGTTTCTTACGAGTTTACAAAGGAAAGTGTGAGTTCCATTATGGCAAGGCATGCGTGTGCCCACGTGAAGGGGTGTGCTCCCGTCCTACTGTTGTATTTCCTTCTTTCCCTAAGTCCCTGCATGTACGTGGCAGTGGCGTAGGGTGGTCAAGAACCCAAGCTTCTGAGGGAGATGCCCGATGTTATTCCCCCTCCCGACTCTTACTTTAGAAGTTAGAACCTCTTTTGTAGAATTGCTATAATGAAGTACTGAGAAAAGCACCTGATGCCCAGTGAGCACTGAAAACGAGTGAATGATTGTTACTCCCATTTGAAATCCATTCTAGGACAAGATTTCACAAATGTGCTCTGCACAGAACTCAGATCAGCGATTTATAAATAAATAAATATATAAGTGAAGTGTGTATGTGTATTTCAAAAAGATTAAGCAAAAAAAGAGGACAAAGGGGACAGATCCAGATAATTCCAGTGCCTAAATTTGTCGACCATAAACTGGCATCTTAAGAATTTAGACTGACATTTTTCAGAAGAAAATGGTTCAAACTAATTAAGCACTTACTATATGCTTGGCTTTCTGATCATGTACTCCTATTACTCTGTTTTGAAATGGAGAGTCAAGGGCCTTGTGGAGAAAATAACACTCGCATAGTCAGATCACCTAGAAGTACCACCGTGTTTTGCTCTTCTTATTAGTATTCGACTGGTCCAAGCCAGTGATGCTCAACTGATTTATGATTTAATTTGTCTGAGGAGGGACTGAGCGTGGTATTTTTTAAAAGCTCCCCAAGTGACTTTAATGTACAATTAGATTTGTGAAGCATTGATCTGAGGAAACGTAGCATCCAACATTACTTAGCATCAGGGACCAACATATAGACAGGGAGGTGGCTCTTCAGAGGTTGTTTCCTTATCGATACCATCTAATGACTGAGGTGATGCGCTCTTTATACTCTAATCTAATTCTTCTTCCTTGAAATTCTCTTTTTTGGGGGCTTTTGTAAAATCACCTGACCACTTTTCTTCCCATCTCCAGGCTGTGGTCTCATTAGCAGACATTTATTCCACCTGTTCCATAAGTGTTACTTCCCAGAATGCAGATCTTTTTAGTCCCTTGTTTACTTTCTCTGGAGAAGTATATATTCTGTAGCCAGGACTGCAGGGAATAGGCATTCATGTCTCTGCAATCTGTATTTCCACCCAAGGAGTTCTGAGTACATGCATCATACCTCACAGTGTACATTTCCATTTGTCTGTCTGACTGGCACCTCATTCTCCTCCCCACTCCCCCTCACTCCCCTTCTTCCTTATATTTTTTTGCTTATCACCACCACAACTGGCCAGATAACGCACTGTTATACTCAGAATAGGGATCTGAAAACCCCTTGGGACTTTGAACCCAACTGGATACTCATACTGGAGTTGTAGGTCTAAATATTCTTACTCTCGTCTTTTGGAAGACTCTACACTTCCCCCAGTTACAACAATTAAAAACATACTCATCTTGACTTCTTCCTTTACATTCCCTTTTCCATATTATCAGGAGAGACTATCTTAATGCTAATCTGAATGCTTAAACTCTAAGGGCTGAAAGCTCCAGGAGAACAGGTTTCATATTTTGCTCAATGCTTTCTCCCCAGTAACAATATTCTTGGCACTTAGGAAGAATTAATAAATATTTACTGAGCAGAATAATCATTGAATTGATAGTAAATACATTGTTTGCCTTGAAGCTGAAGTTTCAGCTTCCAAATAAGATACTTTTTAAGTAAAATAAATAAATATTAGCCATAGCATTTACTAAGCATATCTTACATAGAAGATAATGTAATAGAAATACTCAGATATGTTAAGTGCTTAAAGTGCATTCTATCACAGCAACTTGTTGGGTAAGAAAATTGAGACATTCTTAGATTAAGCAAGTTGCTCACGGTTGGAAAACTTGTATGGGATTATGACTTGAGGTCAGATCTCGGAATCCAAGTCTGTGACTTTTGACCACACTAGGTTAACTTCCTTGCTGGGAGAGGCCATGTCATATATCTTGGTCTTCCCAGTACTTACCAGTTCCAAGAGAGTTGGGATTGGAAACTTCCTGACAGTTTGCTTCTGGAATTACAACTACCCGTTTGTATGAGTAGAATCAAAATGAAAGATGTACGCTGCTACATTTTATATGTGTATTTAGACAAATAGTATTCTGATGCGGGAGTGCCGAGGTAAACTGATAAATCTATGACAGAACATAATACTTCATTATTTGGCCAGTATGTTGGGTAAGAGAGAAAAACGAAGTGGAAAAACTGTAAGAGGAAAGGATGGAGGATGACAGAGATTTGGACAGAGAGGAAAGAGCATACAGATACACAAAGATCGTGAGAAACCAATGAGTGTGTTCCAGCCTATGTGGTTATATGGAAATCTATAAAGCAAAAGCCTCAGTAACATATTAAATGGCCTCAAAACACGACAAACACACATTCAGATGAAGCTGTGTGATTTCTCTAAGGCCAAATTTTAAAGTTTTGAATGATAGTTTGTTTCTGTTCTCCTCTTCAGTTCTCAGATTTACAACCAATGACAAGCTTTTTCATAAATTTCAGGAAATTGCTCAAATACAATTTGGAGTCAGAAGTAACGCTTGCATGTTCAACTTTACATACCTGATGCCAGAACCTTCATTTTTCAATGCTTAATTGAATACTCTTCACACAGAAAAATTGACAGTGAAGGCAAACATTATATTCTCATTTGGTAAATGAAGAAAATCAGCAATAAGTGTAGCTGACTTGGATGGGAGCACAGTTATCCAAACTCCCAGATTCATCATGCCTTTACAACAGCCCATGAAAACTTTAACAGTTTCATTAAATGTCGTGAATTTAAAAGTTATATACTTACAGGCTAAGGGATTTTATTAAATATGTGAGTTTCAATACCCATTATGTGAGGACAATTTTATTAGGTTTTTTTTTTGAAGAAGAAAAAGTAATATAAGATAGAGCTCCTGAACTAAAGGAATGTTTTCATTCCTTTGAAGAGATAAGACATGTACATAATAAAAGCTAAAAAAAATTTCCCAGTGCCAAGGTCTTCTATTCGGTAAGTGTGGTTCTTTGGGTAAGAATATAAACTTCTCTGACTCAGAGAATATTAGGAGATTTTATTTATGTTGATCATGGCAGCTGAGTTATAAATGAATAGACATCCTTGGGTCAGAAACAACTTCTTCATCCAGTAATATTTCAGAATCCTTTTTGAATTATAGTCTTCCAATTTTGGTGTTAACCAGAGGGAGGAGCCATACAACCTTCACAAATTTTGCAGACTCCTTTTTCTGGGTCTTCTACCCTCATCTCTCTACATCTGAAGATATTCGTATCTGCAACATCAGCATCTCAAGCAAATACCACAAAGGATACAGCGTTCACGTAATCAACCACAGCAGCAATTCCTGACGTTACCTGGACACAGAAACCATCTGGGGTGCAGATGACTGGGGTTACCATTAACCTATCGTGTTACCTGTTGCTGTGTAAATATATCACCACAAATTTAGTTGATTCAAACCACACACATTTGCCAGCTCATTATTTCTGTCGGTCAGGAATCCAAGTACAGTTCAGCTGAGAAATCTGATTTAGGGGCTCTTACAAAGTGACAGTCAAGGTGTTAGCTTAGGATTGATGTCTCATTTGAGGATTAACTGGGGAAATATTTGCTTCCAAGCTAATCTACCTGTTGGCAAGATTCAGTTCCTTACTGAGTGTTGATCAGAGCCCAGCCTTGGTTCCTTGTCACTTAGTCTTCTCCATCTGGAAACTTACTTCATCAAAACTAACAAAGGAGAGAATCTATAGAGTGCTAGCAAGACAGCAGTTACATGTTATAATCTTACATAACATAACCATGGAAGTGACAGTCCATCACATTTGCTATATTCTGTTGGTTAAAAGCAAGACTGGCATCCCATCTACCCTCAGATGGAGAAGATTATGCAACCAGGAGGCAAGGATAATTGGGAGGCTGTCGAAGACTTGTGTGCCACACTTGTTAAGTCTAAATGCCCTTTCTTGGGGTCTGTGTTGTCACTCATGCCTAGTCCCCAGGTAGTTCTTCTGATTGGGCCGATTTGGAAAACAACAAACTCAGGGAGAGGTGAGAGCCAAAGCGAAAGAGATGCAGGCTCTCAGCACTGATTGGAATTTAAGAGAAACGGACTTCCAGGTGTGGGAGTTTGCAGCACTGCTTAATCCTACAGAATTATGAGGAATTATGAACTAAATATTCATTGTCTAAAAACACATACCCAAACCCAGGCATGATTCTATAAATCACTATGGGATTAAGTGACAAATGACACAGAATCATATCATTGCTCTTACAGTTTATGGAAGTGTGTTACAAAGTTAACAGAAGGAGAGCTCACTATAGAGGAAGGTTTCATATGTTAGATGTAGCTTATGCTGGACCTTGATGGGTGGGAACTGGATAGAGAAAGTGAGGAAAGGTGGTGGGGTGGGGTGAGGAATAAGACGGAAGCAGGGGTAAGCGTAGTATGGAGACCACTCCTCCTTGAGTAAGGATTTGTGCTGAGATGTACGCAGTGCGCATGGTTACTTGGGGAGGGAAGTGACTGTGAGTCAGAGAAACCTGTGACATGACCATTGAAAAGCCTATGTGTGAAGGTCCCCAGTCCACATGGGGCAGGTGGGACTCAAAAGGAAGCAGTAAGTGAACCAAAGGAAGATAGTTGTTTTTAAAAATGCAAACTTGTTTGTATTTGATTGACAAAGACTGTATTTGGTGTATGAGAGTAGACCTAGGGACAACTGTGGCCTATCTGATGGAGATACTGTCGCAGAATTTTGACAGAAATGGAGCCTGGCTCCACATTCAAGTAACAGAGACACCTACGATGAGTTCTTTTACATTTTATATTACACTCACCTGTTACTGTAATAAAAAGTGATGAATTAATGCTTTAAAATAAAAGCTAGATTACATATTGGATAAAGATAATATTCGAATATGAATATTTTATAGGATACCTTGATTTTGGGGGGGTACCTATTAGATGATCACTACGAAAACTACTAGCATTCAAGTAACATATCCCCTAATACAGAAGGTAAATGATACTATCAAATGTGGATTATCAATATTTGCAATATCAGCTAGATAACCTATAGTTGCCCAGAAATACTTTTTCCTTTTTTTTTTTCTTTTAGTCGAGGTAGGATGGACTAGGGGAAATAGTGTTGGATGTTTAGTATGGTAGTAGAGGATATTATCCTGGCCCTTTCATCATCTAGCTTGGGTCATCCTATTTATCATCATCATCATCAATAGATAATTCATCATCTATGAATGGAGGGCAGCAGTACCCATGCAAACCTCACAGTAGAGTCATAACAAAAATAATCTTTGATTGTTTGTTTTTATAATACTTTAAATAGGTAGGGAATTTTATACTTTTCAGTGTATTTGTATTATTTAAACACCAGCCTAAATAAACATTACTTGTTTTCATAATTGGGTATAATACAAATTATACGGACTTGTTATCTATGTTTTCCATTTTTCATCATGCTTACGTAGTAGAGCAAACTAATAATCAGGATTTATAGGGAGCAGAAACCTCACATTTTTAAAATATGGCAGATATGTTTATTTCTAACATCTCATTCCACTTTCAGATTTTGTACATTGCAGCAATTACTTTCCAGTCTTTGCAATTTAAAAAAAAAATCATTACTTGCCAAACTGAATACTGTAGTTTATAGATTGTGAATATATAGAACTCATTGCAAATTATATTTGGAAAAATGAATGTTTGGAAGCAGAGGTATAGCATGTAATCAATGCACTAAATAAAGTTTCATTCATTTATTTATGCAGCTTACATCTTGTTTTATACCTTGGACAAGAACATACCAATTGATGACTGGGTTATGGAAACAATTAGTGGTGATCGGCTTACTCATCAAATCATGGATCTCAACCTTGACACGATGTATTACTTTCGAATCCAAGCACGAAATGCAAAAGGAGTGGGGCCCCTCTCCGATCCTATCCTCTTCAGGACTCTGAAAGGTTTGAATCATTTCCTTTCATTGTCTTTCTTTTCCTGGGGGATTATTATGAAATAGTTTTGGAGTCTGTGTTGGGAATTGCCCTAAACCATCTCTGTTGGCAACATGTCTACAGTGGGCATTCAGAATAATTAAAATGCAAATTAAACCACGTGAGATATCACCTCAAGTTTGTAGAATGGGCATCAACAAAAAAGAGATAACAAATGCTAGTGAGGATGTGGAGAAAAGAGAACCCTTGGGCACTGTTTTGGGGAATGTAAATTGGTACAGCTGCTATGGAAAACAGTATGGAGGTTCCTCAAAAAATCAAAACTAGAACTACCATATGAGCTAGCAATTCTACTTTGGGGAATATATCCAAAGGAAACAAAAACACTAACTCCATAAGATAACTGCATCTCAGTGTTCCTAGCAGTATTATTTACAGCAGCCAAGACTTGGACACAAAGAAATGTCCACTGATGGATGAATGGATAAAGGAGGTTTGATGTACGTGTATATGATGAAGACTATTCAGCCATTAAAAACAGGGAAAGCCTACCATTTGCGACAATATGGATGAAACTCGAAGTCATTATGCTAAGTGAAATAAGTCCAACAGAGAAAGACAAATAGTGCGTCATCTCACTTATCTGTGGAGCCTACACAAACACCAAACTCAGAAAAAGACATCAGATTTATGGTTATGAGAGGTTGGGGGAGGGAGCAGTGAGACGAGGAATTGGAGGAGGGCAGTCAAAAGGTACCAGCTTTCAGGTGTAAGATAAATAAGTACTAAGGATATAATGTACAACGTGGTAGCCATAGTTAAAATTGCTGTATGATATACATATAGGAAAGTTGTTAAGAGAGTAAATCCTAAGAATTATAGTGAAGAAGTTTTTTTTTCCTTTTTATTTTATCTGTATGAGATGATGGATGTTAACTAAAGCTACTGTGGTAATTATTTTGCAGTATATGGAAATCAAGTCGTCATGCTGTATATCTTAAGCTTAGTGATGTATGTCAATTATTTCCTAAATAATTGGAAAAATATTGGAAACTGGAAAAAAGATTAAAAAAAAATAATTAAAAGCTACCTTTTGACGCTGAAAGCCAGCATGTCAAAGAAAGATCTATTATGTTATTACATTTTCTGCCATCAGCACAGAGCAGACCTATTTAACTTGACTCTTTTTCATTTACAGCCCTTTTGGAATTTTGTATTGATTTCATGTATATGGGCTCTATTCAAAATATAATGAAAACCTTTAGCCATTTTATGTAAGAGAATAAAAGTTAAAAAGCATTGAATTATGTGAATGGTATACTATTGCCAACTTTAAATATTTTCTTTCAGGAACTATTGTCCTAATGTATTAAAAGAAATTTTGATATGGCAAGACTGAAAATCTCAAAGAAAATTCATGTATTTGTTTTAGGGGCCCAGGATAGCAACATGAAAAAAAAATCTTGCAGTATAATTACTAGAAGAAAACTCTACATGCTTGTAAGAATGAAAATCGCTACTCAATTTAAGAATAGTTGAATATTTGTACAGAATAATACTAAGGCTCATAACTACCTCAAAATGATCTCCACATAAGTCCTTTGTATTTTAGTATTATTTTTTTTCTATTTTAGTATTATTTTCAAAGCATAGTATTATTTTTCTGGAGGACAAATAATTTCAAGAGCCTCTTTTATTTAAAAACTGAACGTAATTCAGATGTTCCAGGGCTGATATCTAAAGATGTATATTGAAGCTATGACATGTGTTATTTTAAAGAAGGATACTTTGTTCTTAAATCTCTTCCACCTTATGCCCATATATCTGGCTGAAAACTTGATAAAACATGATGGCAAACAACTGAAAAATTAGAAGCATGCATCAGAAGACATTTTCACCCAGTTGCTTAGATATACTAAAGAATAAGTTTAGAGTAACTAGACCATCTATTTCTCAATTCTCCTAGGAAAACTACCCTAATAAATAGAGGACTTTTGAATTCTGGTGACTGAGCTATTCAAAAGCTAGATTTGGATACAGTTAATCTGAAAGTCTGCCAAGAACACACAAGTAAGCATTCAGCCTAAGCCTGCATGACAGCTCTCAACGACAAGAGTGGAAGTTGGGAGGGAGGCAGGAGAAAAATCAGCCAGTCTTCATCTATCCAGGTTTTTCTGACTTCATGTCTAAATCAGGTTTCACTCCAAATGAGCAACTGAAAGAAAACTGGTTATTCATTTTGTAGGAGCATGAAATGTAACTAGATAATGTTTCACAAATGCTTCATCTTTGTCTATAGACAAGTGCCAAATTAATTTCATGCTCACAATGTGTGCCAACTAGAGATTTCAGGGAAAGGTTAAGATGACTTAAGGCATCCACATGTATTAAGCAGCAGAGTGATGACTTACCACCGGGTTTATAGGCCCACGCTGATCATCATCCTGTAGATTATTTAATGAACTTCATCTCTCACTTGGTACTGTTTACACTAAGTGCCCTAAATGCATCTGTTAGATGATGTTCAGAACTAAGAACAAATTCAGAAACTTGTTATGTGTCATAGTAGTCCACAAGAGTTACTTCTCATACCTAGATTTGAATGTTTAATTCTGTCTACCCTAAGGATGTCATGCCCAATTAATAGTCAGTTAGATTTCTGTGGTAAATCTTACGGTAAGTTTCAGATGTCTTGAGTGTATTTTAAAGTATTCAGGTATATTGATGTTCCCACTTTTATCAATAATTGATACTGTACATGCATGTATCTCACATGTATGCCATTTACAATGAGAGATGTTCTAAGGTAAATAAATTACTCATCATAAGAGAGTTAAAGCCACAATGAACCAAATCTACACTGAAGACAAAGTGCTGTCTGATTTCAGATTTTAGGTTCTCAAAGCTGCTTCAAAACATAAGATCTCTGTTCATCAGAATGTAACTTTGTTTGACAGAGAAAAAGGCTTACGTGTTGTCCTGAAGCTGAGGAAACCCTCAGTAATCTACTGGGTAATAGGCAAGTGTTCCCATTGCAAATCATGCCTTAGGCAGGTGTCCACAAGCTTCATTTTTTCATAATGAGTCTTCGCAAAGATAGAAGAATTTTCTATTAGAGATTAGGGTTTGTTGGTTTGGTTTGGTTTTAGCCACCAGCCAGAGAGATACAGGACACTCAATCAGTAATCACTGGTTAATTAAAACGACATTTATCATTTGAAAAGAATTAAATTACTATGGAGGTACCCTATGTACATGCATATATGTGGTATATCTGATTCTTTATTTGCAATGCTAATTAGAAGAATCATGAACTTGATTCTTTGACCACAGAGGACTCTGCAAGTACCCGTTTCCCTTCCCCAAATTCCCCATTATTAGACCCACACAGTATGGAAACCTTAGGAGATGTGTAAGAGGCTTGTTTATTTCTGCCCATCACATGAGTTTCCGTCAGTAAAGTAAGCTTCTCTGTGTTGGACCATCAAGTAGTAGGGAGGAAGGATGCTCCTGTGGAGGGATGAACTCACCTTCTACACAAAGAAGCAGAGTCTTCAGCAGTGAAAATGTAGTAGAGTGGGGTCACTTCTCTGGGCATCCTTGTCATTTGGAAATGTGCATCTCTCCCATCTAAGGATACAGAAGTGAAAGCTCTGACCAGAATACAAAAAGGTTTTAGATTTTAAATTGTTCTGTGACAAAATACAAGATTTTCTTGACAAATGACAGGAACAATGAAAAAGTCAAGGTACAGATTACAATCCTGTTCAGCCATTATTTATCTTTAATTGAAAGTAACTGTTAGAAATATTTGATCCCTGTTGGGAAAATACTCTTCAGTTAATAACCTTTCTCGAGACATTCAAAATTTCTAAAGTTACAGTCAGTCTAAATTTGCTGACACGACAATAAATCCAAAAGATAAGAATAAAGATGAGATTGTTCCCTATGACGTATATTTATTTGTCACTTGCTAAAATTTTTCTTAGACTGCAGGTAAGACATTATATAATTCAAGACAGAGGGCGAGATGAAGAATGGAAATAATACGAGATTGGTTTTCTCCCCCCGCCCTTTGTATCATTCTGAAAAGTTCTCACCTAGATTGTGAGAAACTGATTAGTTTCTCAAGTGTGTTCCGTTCTGGCTGCCAAACTTGACCCTTCCTGGGTTGCGTGGTCGTATTGATCCTGACACACCCATCCTCATTCTTGCTGGAGACCTGGTAGGCACGTCCTACAACATAGTGTCTTCCTTTAAAAGCTACGTTAGGAACTTGTCTCTGTTTATACGCTACAGATAATGAGTTTGCCTATCAGAGGCACCTCTCATCAACTGTCCTCTAATGCTGTAACAAAATGTACTTTGAGAAGTCATTAATCTTGACTGAGAAATGGGACAGAAAAATCAAGATAAAAATTAAATCATAATGATTAGATTAGAAAAGATTAGATGGCCTGATGAACTGAAACATGTTTGTTAAATCTTGAGGAGATAACGAAGACATTTATAAAACTTACTTAAGGTTTGTAGAATCTTAACACAAAGCACTCCTGTATATACCATTTTCCAAAGAGCAATTGAGAATTCAAATTCTACTGCTTATTAAGATCCCCTTTCTGGTTTATCCTTGGCATGGACTATGTCTATATAGTATTTTTACATGATACTGCAAATGAGCTCCGGTTTAGAAATTTGTTCTTCTATGATGTGACGTTAATAAACCCTGTTTATCTGGAAGGGGTTTTTGTTAACAGCATTTTATTTAAATATTTTGATACCATACATTCTTTTGGACAGTGGTTTGTGTTCCTTCTTTGAAAAAAGGAAGGACCAGCCCCTGTACAATCTTTGCTGTAAGCTGTTTTTCACGTGGTGATGGTGGATTTGCTGTGAGAGGTGATTAGGTTATAGTTTGCAGCCCATGGGGATGCTGTGATCTTTTTCTCTGTGTGAGTTTAACTGAGATGTACACAGAAAGCAAACCAGCGAGTGTAGTTGCCTAAGTTTGACTACAATTAAGTGAGTTAAATATGCCCAGAAGACTCAAAGATCAAAGAATATCGAGTGTAGATGAACTAATTCTAATTAATGGAGACTTACAAAGATCTACATTGATCAAAATGTCATTTCTCAATTTCTAGAAAAGCAATGATACACAGACATTTACTTCCTATAAAGAAAGGTACATTTGGTTAATAGAAAAGAAACTACCTTTAAAAAATTAGAGATATTTTCATTTTTTACTGAAATGTAGTTGATTTATAATGTGAATTTCAGGTATACTAGAGATATTTTTAAATTTTAAAAAGTCATTTTCAAGACCATTACTCATAATGCATCTAAAGTTGTGAACAATTCAAGACTTTTCTTCATAAATTGTAAAAATTTATCAAATCATTTAAACTTTATGGTATTATTTTATCTTATCCATGTGAAAATTGGTTAAGTTCTCTTGCTGAAAATTTTTTAGAAAATGAATACAAGAAGATTACTTCCTTGTTTAAAATACATGGGTGATAATCTGTTGATAATCATATGCGTTTGTTTCTGTTAATTGTATTTTTAATTAAACTACATGATGATCATTCCGAGTTCAGGTTTAGAGGAATGTTACAATTAATATTTTTTAGAACATATTTATACAGCAAAAACATGATTTTGAATTTTTTTCTCAGACTAATTGAATGGAAATAATCACATTAACCTCATTCCTTATCAGTTTTATTTCACCAGGGCATTGGCCTTGATATGAGAACTCGCTAACCAAACTGTTGATTTGAAATGTCAGCTTTCTTGATGGGAACTGCCAAAATCTAATAATATTGTTTCTTTTTCCCCCACAGTGGAACACCCTGACAAAATGGCTAATGACCAAGGTATGATGCTTCCGTCTGTCATTTTTCCCTTGTTGAATCAGTCCTGTCTGTTAGAAATGTCAAGCATTATTTTCTGTTCCTCTTTTTACCTGGGCCGTATACCTGACGAAGCAGACACTGGCTCGATAATTAATCTTGTTAATGAAGTTCTGCTTGGCTGAGGCTTAGGCTCTGATAGGGAAGATGTAAATTTTCTTGAGAGGTAATTGTTTTGTCTCTATTCTGAAGGACCAATTAAAATGTCAAGCTTCTTTGTATGAAATAAATTTTTAGTCTCTGTCTGCACTTCTGAATAATTCACATTAAGTATAATTAAGCTCAGCATAATTTTCAAGCTGCTCTTGTTCCCTTTCATGAGCTATGGATTAAAGTTCTGTTGCTTGACAGAAAAAAAAAACCATAAATCATGTGTGCTTTTCATATACAATTCTTTTAATAAATAAAAACAAATTTAGGTCAACTCTTTGAGGGCATCACTATTGTTCATTCTGAAGCCAGAAAGCTTTCCTTCCACGAGTCACATGCCAGTTTGACTTCTAGTATTTTGTCCTTCTTCCATTCATTTGCTGAAAGCTGATTTGTGTAGAGAAACAGGGATGGTTTTACACAAAGGAGGATGGAGATAAAGAAGAGTTATCCATCAACTCTCCGGTAGCTCTGAATTTATTACCGTGAACCGTAGACGCACAAATTAGGATTCTGTTGTTTTTACACTGAGGGTAATTAGTAGAATGCTAAAGGGGGAAAAGGAGAGTATATGAGTTTTATTTTTTCAGGATATCGTGTCCTTTAAAGGAGGGAGAATTTGGAAATGCTCATAACTGATTATAGTCAGTGTTGTCAGTGTTGGTTCAGGGTCTACAGCTCATATAGTTTGTCTCCTGCTTCGGACATCAAGTGGCAACAGAACCTACTTACAGCACCAGGTCTCATAAGGCACCATGTTGTAGACTGGGCGAAAACATGCTTCCAACAAGAATACTTTCTAACTGTTGACAGATATTAAGCATGTGGAAGCTAAGTTTCAGTAACAATAGAAGGTTGTCTACACAAGTAGCATTTAATTTAATGATCCCATGTTCAGGTTTATCTCTGGGTCCTTCTGCCATCCCTCTGCTTAAGTGAACATGGCCAGGCCTCCAGACAGGGATGTTAGAAATGACACAATACACAGAACTGTCTACCCAGGGTCAACAGCTCTGCTAATCACCTAGCTTCTCCTGCTTGCTTCCACCTAAAATATTTCCATAAGATCAATATCTGCTGAATAGTAATGTTTGTAAAACTACTAATGATGTGTAATTGGCAGTTAGCATGCATTTACTTTGGTAAATTAAATGTTAATGCTGGCCAAATCCAAGCTAGAATCATTAATTAGCAGAATTTATTATTTCAGTTATAAAATAATTGAAACAACTTCACGTGGCCTTCTTTAACTTAAATGAATTTGGGATTTCCACAGGCAGGTAACTCCTAAGTTTTGAAATTATATTTAGAAAAAGTATATATGAGAGAGAGAGAAAACACAAACTTTTTTTAAGTAACTGAGCCAGATGAAATGTTACAGTCGTAGCCATGTGGGTGACAGCATGCCCAAGCGTCTGAATTGGTGGACTTCCAATTGTTTCTGGATTCCTTTGAGTTGCTTTTTGCTATTATTTTTTAAGTTAACTATTTTGCTTAATATTATTTCAAGCTACCAAGAAATGTATTTTGTAAATTGGTCCTCCTTTTGTAAGAGAAAAAAGTAAATTATTCTCTAGTCTCTCTGATCATGCACTGTCTATGGATTTCGCTCAGATTTTCAGTGAGATCTGATCAATTATTGGGAACAAAAGGAATTCCCAAGAGTTATTGCCAATGGCTGAGTCTGTTAATATATTGGGGCAATTGTTCCTTTTCTTCATCTGACATTACTTGGAAACATTCTGTCATATATTATGCTACTTGGTCCCTTATTCAATTACAGCTGGTATGCAGTTGGTCACATTGATAGGTTCTAAATTTTACATTAAACTCAAATTATTTGTAAAATTGAGGAGTGACGACATATAATTTAATGGTTATAAATGAGATCTTTAAATTCTTCAAAGAAAGCATATGAAATTTGTTGGCCATCAACAACTCTTCATAAACAAAATCAGTCTTCTCTATAGATGACCAAGGGCATGACAAATGACCCAGTCGAAAGAGCCCTCTAATTGGGGAAAATAATGGGAAAAAACTATTCTGAACGTTCCCACTTTCAGCACATAGTAAATCAGTTGAATATGCATTATTGTCCTCACTGTTAGACCAATTTGCCCCTTTCCCACGGCGAAATGATCCCACTGTTACATTTATGACAAGCGGTGAATTTCTGCTGAGAGAAAATTCGCTCAGAGAGAAAATTTAACACCCTGGGTCAGAGTTAACCTTGCAAAGATGAATCCTAAATAGGAAAGCAGGAGGTTGAGTTTGGCTTATACGAGAGAAAATGAGAAAAGTTTTGATTGTTTTTAAGAAGTATCTCTTTAGGCTCTTGTCACAATGACTTTTTCTTGGAATTGACTGTCTGCCCTGAAGAACATAAATGTGAAAACAAAAAGTCAGTTGTATTTGAATCAGCTGTGATTTGGCAAAAATACAGTTTCTCCTGAGTAATAGGCGTTCTGGTATGAAAATATAGATCATTTACATAGAAGTCCCTTTCCCTTTTATATAAGTGTGACTTGATTATATCCAGCACTTGTCCAGCCCTCTCATCTCAAACTGCTCTATAATTCCACTTTTTTTAGAGGCCCTTATCTCTTGTTTCACATTTTAATTACTTCTCTAGTCTCTTCTAGGCACAAATGGCCGATGTGTTTTAAAGTAATCATGAGATTTTAGAGATGAACCACAGACGTGACTATTTTGGAGGGTCAGGCAGGGTAGGGAAGTTGGACGGCCTATGTGAAGTGAGGGGGAAGGATCTAAAAAGTCCTCTGCTCTAGGTTCTTTTCCTTTTTTATTTTCCGTATTCTGGTAAAAGCCGAGTCCATTTGCCTATGTCTGTGTAGGCATGTTTAGTGGTAAAATTAACCCTTACGAACCTCTCACTACCAGTCACTGTTCTAAGAGTGTAGCATGTGTCGACTCGTTTAACTCTCAGGACTCTACTGAGAGAGACCCCATTGCTGCTTCCGTTTCAGTGATGAAGATGCCAAAGCTCAGAGAGTTTGATATGCCTGTAGACACACAGCTAGTAAGTAGGTCTCCAAGGCCACGATGCAAACCCAAACAAGCATCTTCCAAAACCCCTGCTTTTAACTGCCAAGTGTGTTCTTCACGGCATGTTACATACATAAACGCACAACCACACACGCACGCTTCTGACATGTATCTGTAAAGTTTCTGTATCGAAACTTTGTGGAGAGATATTTTCCCAGTATCAGCCTTCCTTTCCTCAACTTTGAGTATTCTAAAGAACAAGGCAGAGGGCTCTCAGTCTGAGGTCACCTTGTTAATGGGAAGTCACAGCCCTAAATATGTGATTCTTTATCTCAGGAAACAGAGGGTTGGTGCTAATTCGCTCTGTCTTGGTCAGCGTGGGCTGTCGATATAAAATACCAGACTAGGTGGGGTGTATTAAACAACAGACTTATTTGCTCACAGTTCTGGAGGCTAGAAGTCTCCTGTCAAGGTCTGGCAAGGTTGGTTTCAAGGGAGAGCTCTCTTCCTGGCTTGCAGACAGCTTCCTTCATGCTATGCAATCACTTGGTGGAGAGACAAAACTCGCTCAAGTCTCTTTTAAGGGCGCTAATTATGTCGGACCAGGGCCCTATCCATATGATCTCATTTAACCTTAATTACTTCCATGAAGGCACACATCTCCAAATATGTGGCTACTGTCTTATGAATTCAGCATATGAATTTGGGGGTGAGGGAGGACACAGTTCAGTTCATTGTATCTACCTTCAAAGATTAATCTGTTCTTTAACTCTTTTACTGATTACAGGTTGTCAGATGAGGAAGCAGACCCCCAAAAGCCATACAGATTTAGTGGTTGGCAGAGTTGCAACGCAGACATGTTTCTCTTTGATTCCCAAAGTGTGTAATCTCTCCTCTGTAGACTACTGCTCTATTTGTGGGGGAAAAAAATTAACTTTTTGTTTTTCTACAATCAGCTCAAACCTTTTAAGCTTCTCACAGAAGCATTTGTAAAAGCCTCTGGTTTGAGGGTTGCAATGCAGGATAGCTGTAACTATAAAACATGACCAATTCTCAAAAGTAATTATTGGATGAAACTTTTAAAGTATTGTGTTGTTTTGCATTCTCATAGTCCATTTAACCCTGAAATGTTGTTCTGCACTTTGACATATAAAAACTGGTCATTCTTAGCATGAGCACAGATGTATACAGTTTCATGTGTGTTGTCATGCCTGCCCAGTGGAGCCACAGAGTAGGTGCTGGGGCCACGACACAGTACCTTATGGAGGGTAGGAATCTTCATGGAATGATCTGTATGATTGCTGTGATGAATCATGAAGAAAATGCCTGCTTCAAGCGCTGTCCAGTATCTTTAATTCTCCATGGCCTGCAGAGGGGTGATCTAACACAGGAGGCCTAGAAAACAGGCATAAATTCAGAGACCAGCTTGTAGATTCCAGATGAAGGCAGCTCTCCCACTGTGGAGAGAGAATTACTCTCCTCTGAATCACATGATGGTCAGTAATGCTCCGGCTTTCTCATCAGCATCTCTCAGTGCGGGCTAGAGGAGCACCCGAATGGGATCAGATGCCCCAAATTCCAGTACAGAGCTGTCATTGTGAGTCCTTGCATGGTTTTGCAGCTCTGAACTCCTCTCAGCATCCTCATGTGTAAAATGATGACTTTAGCCCAGATTATCTTTGATTTCTTTCCAGGTTTAAGATGATTAAATTTTAGGGTTGGTATTAGAAAAAAAAACCCAGGCACGGCATCTTCGCACAGTGTAACACATCACATTTTTGCACTCCGACTGTGCATCCATCACTCTG